GGGTCCCAATCTTCTTGCTGCAGCCTCACATGATCTTTTCTCTGTTCAACCCATCCCTGGTATCTCTTTGTGTATCTAAATTTCTTCCCTTTACACTCCAGTCAGTGGGGATTAGAGCCCATTTTAACTTAAATACTACTTAAAGGGCCCATCTGGAATGCAGCCACATTCTAAAGTACTGGAAGTAGGGCCTCAAGATATGCATTTGAGAGGGACATGATTCTACCCAGAACACCATACAAAAATTTAGATAAACCATAGAATATAGTATTTGTAACACAATGCTTTAAGACAAAGTAAAATAAATACAAAAAACCTATAGCTTGGAAAACGAAATTAACAAGACATCAATTGTTTCTCAGCCTATATCTTAAACTTGTCTCATGTTTTCGCCTTTTAATATTTATATAGCTCTTCTACTCAACATATATCCCCAGCTGAGAAGTTGTATTTCATTTTTTTCTAATATTTTTTTTTTAGTTGTAGTTGGACACAAAACTTTTACTTATTTATTTTTATGTGGTGCTGAGGATTGAACCCAGTGCTAGGTGAGCACTCTATCACTAAACCACACCCCTAGCCCATATTTCATTTTCTGACAGTGTACTTTTGAGATCTTAGAGACTAAATACATAATGAAAGAAAATTTTGTTGTGAGAAGCTAGCTATATCCAGGATTAGACATTATCTTAACAGAAATATTCATCTTACGAATATTGTGCATAAACTGGGAAATTGACAAGAGTTAGATGACAGCATCACTAGGAAAACCTATAATTGGTTCACTGTCCTCAATCATGTACTATGTGCCCATTTCTATATCAGGAGAGATCACAGAGCTTGTGTTTCTTTCTCTATGCAATAGGATTTATGTGAAATCACAGAGAAAATGCTAGCCAGGCCTTGCACAAATATGGGAAAACAATACGTTAGTTATACGTCAGCACTAGATTCAAAGAAAAGTCCTAACAATTTGAATGAATGAAACCAAATAAGGTGATAAAATTTAATAAGGAAAAGTGCATCATGGTACAGTAAGGCCCAAAAACACTAACTGGAAAATTATAAGCAGAGAGAAGTGCAGAGAAGTGTAGAGAGAAGTGTAGCTTTATAGGAACACGCAGTAGAAATTTTGTTGAAATTTTTTGGTAATAAAGACACTAAGGGTCAAATAATGTGCTTACTGAGAGTTAGTATATGATTAGGCTACACCATCAACATTACAAAATCTCAGAAGAAAAATGATGAGACCATTTCACTTGAGGATGTCCAGGTTTCACTGGGAACATTTTGTTTCTAGGCAATAAACTTATTGTAATGCTAGAATAGCAAATATATTCAATTCCATGTCAAATGAAGAACAATAATAAGACGTAGAACTATTAGGATATGAGATGGACATCATTACCCTAAGTACATGTATAAAGATATGAATGGTGTGACGCTGCTTTGTGTACAACCAGAGACGTGAAAAATTGTGCTCTATATGTGTATTGTGAATTGTAATGCATTCTGCTGTCACATGTAAGAAATTAAAATTTTAAAAATGAAAAAAAAGAAATATTATTCAGGATAAAACAAGACTGAAGAGGGAGATCAGCTTGTCTTCAAATACCTGAAGGGCTGTCCTCTGGAAAGGCTTTAGGCATATATCCCGGGGCCCCAAAAGGGAAGGATCAAGTTGGCTTGGCTAACAACTCATTGCTTCCCAGAAACTGGCTTCCGGCTTCATTCTTCTCTGTTAGGAACCTATCCTATTTCTAATTGTCAAGTCATCTTAGTCCATATGTATTGCTCTAACAAAATACCCTAGACTGGGTGGCTTATAAACAATAGAATTTATTTCTTATAATTCTGGAGGATGGGCACCCAAGATCAAGGTCCTGGTCGATTTAGAGACTGGTGAGTGCTCACTTCCAGGTTCACAGAGTTATGTCTCCCTTTGACCTCACTTTGGTGCAGTGGTGAGGAGCCTCCCTGTGTCTCCTTCACAATGGCACCAATCCCAATCAGGGGGCCTCTGCTCTCATGACTTATCCCAAAGGTATCTCCTAGCAAAACCATCCTCTTAGAAGAATTTCAACTTATCAGTTTGTGCAAATGCAAGCACTCAAGACCACCATGTCCTGTGAACTGGAAGTTCCCAGACAGGGTGGCCTCTGAGTGGTGCCAAGATTCATGGCCCGTCTCAAGAGGTAGCGATTTTCCTTATGGGAAGCCCTTCTTGCTCAGGCTTTAATGACTGTGAGGTGCAGGGGATTAGAGTGATTGGGTAAATGTAATTTAGCCTCTTTGTAAACTGAGGACCTATGATTTGAATTCTGCTAGAAAAAATATATTATAATTTTATACCACAGATTTCATTTTAACACATCAGCTCAATTCTGATCCATTTTGGAAAAGTTTAGTAACACATTTCTACATAATTGCTTCTGTTCTAACCCAAACTTCATTTGCTGTTTCTCCCCATCTTTTCTGTCTTCTTCTCTCCCTATTCCCCAAAGCTGAAATAATAATTCCATCTTATTGCAACGAAGCATAAAGCTTTAGAAAACAGTAGCAGACATCGAGCTGAGGTCAGATTCAGAGTCAAGAAAAATATTTCTGAGATTCTTAGCATCCACTGTGCCAAAAGTAAATGCAGATTTGATAAATGACACAAAGTCATTACCTCTCCATTTCCCTTTCTGCTGATTCGATTTTTACAAGAGCCCAATTTTCCACAGAATCAGATCAGATTTACAGCAAATACAAAGATTGCATCTTTTATTTATAAGGCAAAAAACCTACCCAAATACTTTTCATTAAAAGTGTGTGCCCTGTAATACTAGCTTTCAGAGTATTAGTCAAGCATTATATGACTTCTGTCCCGCACCCCTGTAGGAATTGATAAGCAAAGACCTTGAAGACGGAGCTCCTCAGAAGTTACTGAGACTATCAATCCTGACCTTCATGATTTGTTTCAGGTTGATAATGAAGTTTGGGAATGAAGTTGTGAGACGTATGAACAACTACACATGCTTGCTATTTGCTATCCCTGTTCCATTCTCTGCCTTCCTTCTAGAGGAACAGTTTTGTGAGAGAATCTGCTAGCCCTAAATCAACTTGTAGACAATTATAGAAACAGGAAAATAAGATGTTATAAATGAGTAACAATAAAAATATAAATATATTTATTTTGAACTCTATTATGTCCCTTGAGATGTGTTTGGAAAAAAAATAGATAGGATCAGGACAAGGAGTTACATAGAGCTGGTGTAGAGAGGCTGGCATGTGATACCCAGATTGGAGAGACAACTTCAGGGTTTGTACCTAGACACAGGGAAAGGGGATGAGAGGTCCACCCATGAAAAGGGTGGAGGATACCTCTCCTAAGTGTGTGCTGGATGGAGATGACTCCTCTGACCTTATATTCAATACCTTCATCTTCGTGAGGAAGACAAGGATGGGATCATAGTGAAGATATGAAAATAATGGGGAGTTAGACAATTTTCCAATGCATAGTGTTTTCCTTTAGTACCATGTCATGACACCCTTTAAAAACCAGGACATGGATGTGTGATTTATATTTCCCTGTTTATATTTATGTTTTACATTTATATTGTCTTACATTTTCCACAGCTTTAAACAAACACTATCAAACAATAGAGTCATTCCTATATTGGAATTTCAAACATCTCTCTGAGGGAAAAAAAAAAAGCACATGTGAAAAAAGTATGTCTACCCAAAGAAAAATTTCATGAGTGTGCTCTTCAGAGCAGTGCTTTTCAAACTTGAACGTGCAGAGAAGCCACTTTGAGATCATGTGAAAATGTAGATTTTAAATCAGTAGGTCTCAAGTGGAGCTTCAAATTCATTCTGCTTTCTAACAACCTCCAAGTGGACAAATGCCTGCTGAGGCACAGATCACACACTTAGCAGGTTTTAGGCCATGTAATCTCATTCCCCGTTTTAACTTTCCCCCTGAGTTCCTGTACTCTTCCCTCTGGTTCACTGGTGAGAAAATTTTAGATCCAAATAGGGTGGGTACAAAAGAAAAAAAAAATATTCTAAACTTCCAACATTAAGCCTAGCAATAAGATTTTTAGTTGTTTCAAGGAGAGACTTTTTTTTTTTTGGACACAAATGAATTATACATACTTCATGTAAATCACTGAGCAAATTCATAACAAATACACAGTAGCTTGTCAATTTCTTTCCATAAATGAAGTCCTACATCTGAGTAAGTTAAAAACAAGTGTCTATTTGACTGGTCAGCTAAGCCACGATATTTGATAGGTTAAATGTGTTAGGTGCATTTTTAATAAGCAGCACACCACCTAAATGTTTAAGTATCACTGAGGAATGAGGTGACCTGGGTTGGTCAAATTCTCCAACTAAAGTTTATCTTCAAAGTTTCTAAACATACTGATTTTGTGAAATCTTTCTGGAATTGACATTCGTAATCAATGTTAAATATACATAATAGTGTTTAACGTACCACCCAGGGACAATAATTACTATTGTATGGTGTGATGTAGGAATGCTCTAAGAGCTACTAAGGTCTATGAGGGCCTGTGCAGGCTCATGTGTTTCTGCACTGTGGAGTCTCAGTGTCCTCTGGTGGCTTCTCAATGTATTTGGAGACCTTCTGTCTCCCTCCTCATAGTTAGACACAACCACACTCCGCTCTCTGGCTGCCCTCTTATAATTTCGAGTCTGCTGATTTGTTTTTCACATGATATTCTGCTAAAAGTTCTAAAACTAGTTCCTCTCTCACCTTTTTTTTTTTTTCTTCTCTCTTTCTTTTCTACAGTGTTTGGGGGAAACCGAGAGTCTGGAGCATGCTGGGCAAAAACTCCATCACTGAGCTATGCCCCATCCCTTCTCTCTCTGTTTTTAAAGTTGGAACTATTTTGGGGCTTTAAGTTACTGGATACTTATATAATCATTTCAGCTTAAAGAAATCACACAGTTTGAACCCTTTTAAGCATCTCTTACTGTAAGCATTGAATACTCACTGAGCCCAGTGTCCTTACAGTACTGAACCAAGTACTGTCCCATGACTTTCAGTAGATGATTATACTCTTGGACATTGAGAAATTCTTGTTTATTGTGGGATGGTTCCATGATCTCCAAGGGTATGTTAACAATTCCAACTACGCCTGCACCAAGTCTGATGGAATAAACACACATATAAATTTTATGAAATTTAGCTGCACAAAAAGAAATATCAAATATATGCTGGTCATTTGCAATCAACTTTTTTTATGATTACCAATTTAATATAAAGGATTTTATCAAAGATACAAATGAAGAGCCAGATGAACAGGTACATTGGTAAAGTCTGGAAGGATCACTTCTGTCCTGCGGAGTTGGGGTGTGCCACCCTCCCCACATGTGGATGCATTCATGAGCCCAGAAGCTCATTCGTGATTGACTTGTCTCTGGCTTCTCTCCTGTCTTCTATTCCCTCAGGGGTGGTAGTACTGAAAATACTAGGTTTGGATTCAAGGTGCTGTCTTTCTAGTGACCAACACCCATCCTGCCAAGAGTCACATTACTGGATCAAGAGATACTCCTAACTCTCAGGAAATTATAAATTTTAGGGGCTTTGTGTTAGGAATGAAGTACAAAGACCAAACATATTCTGCACAGTCTCTGAATTATGATAGCTTGAATTTTATAATTTTCCAACTTTTTGATAGTGTAGAAGTTGTTCAGATGCAACAGAAACGGGGCTGGGGACGTAGTTCAGTAGTAAAGCCTTTGACAAGCCTGTGTTCCAGTCCCAGTACTGGAAAGGAAGGACGGGTGGGCTGATGGGAGGAAGGAAGGAAACAAACTGCTTTAAATTGTGAATTTTGATCTTTTCCTGAACTAGTGACATGCAGTATGGTACTCTGTTGTGACAATGGGCAGCGGGCAGCAAGCCACAGCTCCCAATTAGAAAATAATCCCCATTCTGCAGAACGCTGGTCAGCTAGGCCATGATGTTTGATAGGTTAGATGTGTTAGATGCATTTTTTATTTATGACACATTCAACTTATGATGGGGTTATTGGGTGCAATCAACTTTAAAAAAATAATAAATTCATTCTCTTGATTTAGACCATGTCAAACAAGTTATCTTATGATTGTATTTTATTATCATTAATCAATGGTTATCCCAGACGTCACATCATATGAAATCCCTTCAGCACATCATTATTGAATCAATGCAACTCTTCTTCCAAATCTATCTCCTTACATGGACAGTAAGGGCTGGTTGGAAGAAGCCTTTTAGCATAAACACCAGTGATGGAGGACCTTACTGAACAAACCAGCATGATCCTTTGAATGATACGGGCAGAAAATCACTTTCTTTGTCCCCATTTCATGTGTCAGGCTGAATTTCTACTCCTTGCAGAGTCCCGTGGGGTGCTCAGTGAATTCTACTAGGGAACAGAGAGTTTCATTATCCCAAAGGGCAACAGAATCTGACTGTCAGAACAGAGGGTTTTGGGGTTTGCTTGCTCCACTTTTTTAGTGGCACAGACTGTAAATACCTGGGGTACTTTGCCAGTCATATTTGTTCTGGGAAAAAGCTTTGGTTGTCTAGCACTTTTGGAGGCTCCCCATTGCCCAACCCTGGAACACAAATGTCACTTTCCCAGACCAATGAGCCTGTCTGTTGTGCTTCTCATCACTTGCTCTTCCACCTGCCTTCCCTTCACTATTCATACTATAAGTCTAAATGTGGGCATCGCTTCATCCAGGAGTCCTGACCTGACTTCCCCCAGTTTGGTTTACTGCCTCTCCTAAATGCTTTTTATTGTAGTTGATGTTCACCTCTAACAGAGTACTCATTCATTTACTCCATCATTCATTCATTCAAGCAACATACGTGGCCCTATTCCAGGAACTAGGAATATAGTTAATAACAAGAAAGACAAGGTCCTGGTTAGGAAGGTTCTCCCATCTACTAAAGGGTGACTGGTATGATTCTAAAAAAAGATAAGTGAACAAGGTCATTTCAGATGGTGATAAGTGGTATGAGGAAAATACAGTAGGTGCTGTAATATGCAAACAGTGGCAGGTAAAGGTGACAGCAGCAGCTGAGTTACTTATTCAATGAAGAAAGACCTTCCTACAGAGGGAACTTTAGAGCTCTGAATGACATACTAGGACCAACAGTAGGAAGGTCTAATAGGACACATATCTCAAGGTCCAGGGAAGGGCAAATGCCTAGACCCTGAAGCAGAAATGAGCTTAGGTGATGGGAGGAACAGAATGCAAAGAGTTTGGGGATGGGCAAAGGAGTAGGGCTCACAGCCAGGCAGAGGCCAGATCCCTGGTAGATGTAGTAGGCATTTCTACAAACAGCTCTGGGGTTTTAAGCAAAAGAATCAATTATTTCAGGTTTTAAAGTTCATTACTGCTGTTTTAAAAAAATGCATATTTGAAGGGCTAGAGACATAGCACAGTAGGTAGAGTGCTTGCTTGCATCAAAAAAGAAAAAAAAAAGCATATTCAAATGCTTGTCTCTTTCCCTGGACTACATGTTCTTTAGCAAAAGATATTGCTTCTTGAGCATTTTGTCCTCAAAGCTGAGTACAGTGCCTGGCACATAAACAGGAATAATAATGCATGAATAATAAATGAATTGCTAATTCCTCAAGAGGAAGGTGATAAGTGCTCTCCTGACCCTTTCTACTCTGCGTGGATATTCTGTCTGACTCTGTCCTTTTGTATGGTGTCTCTTCAGGCCTCTACATGACTGATGAAAGCCGCCTGTGAAGTACAGACCATTGGAAAACAACAGAATGTAATACTCTGGAATTTAAAGGGGCTGGAGTCTTCAAAAAACATGTGCTCATGAAGGTCACTGGCAAGACCTCACACACGTAGGGGCTGTACGGAATGTTAAACATGGTTGCTCTCCAAGCCTGTGGATATTTCTTCTCTTTCTCTTCTAAAATTTCTTTAATGCGTCTGTATTATTTTTAAATTGGTGAAACATTAAAAACCCAAAGAGATGGCTCGAGGTATGGTTAAAACATCAAGCTGTTTAAGAAATGCATTGAAAAAAAAAATGTTTCCAAAAGTGTGTTTTTGCTTTAGAGCAAGACACAGCTTCACTGGTAATATAAATTAGGCAAATTAATGCCTGCCCATTGACAGGAAGGGTGAACAGAGAATATGACACCTGCCCCCATTAGGATTAATCACTCATCTCATTCCACAAACCCTTAATACAACCTCCCTTTTCCTGCTTGTGCATCTGAAAACAAAACCATACTTACAAGGACTTCAGTTTCAACTGTGGCCCCACTTTCTCATGCATTTTGATCAAACGGTTATTACTGTAAATGAACATGCCAGCTCGGCTTCGGTTTTCTATGTTCACTCCAAAGAACAGGAAGAGCGTTCTTGCTTTTTTTAATTCTCTAGAGTTATATGTAGAAAAGTTTTTTTATTAAATAAAATACACAGTTTACAAAACTGCTAATAGTTAAACTCAGAAGGTACACATAAAAGGAATGATATATAACATTTCCAGATATTTTGCAAAACCTGGTGGGTATACTCAGTATCTGTATAGCCAAGTTTTCTGCATACATATGATGCAAATAACATAAGTATTTTTTGATTCAAAAACAAACCTGTTAATTTAAACTTAGAAAAGCCAGAAAAAGCCAAAAGAGTTCTGAAATGTTAACTGATCAGATATGTACATTTTAGCATTTTTGGAAAATGTTAATTTGACTTTTTTCAAAATTTTAGCTATTTCTTACACTGGATGTCACTTCTAACTTTCAGACTGTTCTCAAGTCTCCAAATATCTGATACAGATCAGAATGTGCCAAAAGATGTTCTTTAGCTTTCTCTCTAACCTTTTCTAAATATCAAAGGTAAATAAAAGTTAATAAGGCAAGTTTACAAGAGCAACAGATATGAGCTCCTATTTTTCTGTCCTGCACTCTGTTTTGTGTGATTTTTCTATTAAAAGTATTATATATATATATTATATATGTACATATAATATATATATATTATATATTATATATATAATATATATATGTTTCTCAGAAATTGAGAAATAGAAGAATGTGACAAAAAAAACTACAGTCTGAGGAGGTTGCTGCGAACTATCAAAAGTTTGTGTCATATGAAGCGGTGGACTTGACTTCAAACACAAGTTTACCATTGTAACAACTGGGCAACTACAGAGGAACTACTAAAACATTCCATCTCACCAAAATTATGGGAATGGCACATCCCTTAGTCCCTTGGGATGTCATGAGGACTAAAGAAGATAATTTTAAAATATTAATCTGAAACAAATGAAGTACATAAGAAATATTTTTTTCCTTTTCTAACCAAGAATGACAACTAGTAGAATTCTTTCCTTGTACTCCCTCTATAGCCTCCCTCCCTCCACAAATATAGCTGTTCTCTCCAGGTTCATGACCATGTACTATTACAACAGACACGACAGACCTACTGGGATAATTCAAGGAAATAATGAAGTTCCATCTGCCCACCTCTGTGAATAAGGTATCACAGAGTACCACAGACTCAATGAGAAGTTGTAGGCATGGTCAACATACCATGCATTTATTAAATGCATGTACATCTTAGGTAAACAGGGATTGAACTTTTTCTCAAAAATCTTTACTCAACTAGGAGATCAGAACTCTAAACAAGAGTACTGACTGTTTAAGGGACTCCAAAAGAAGACATGATATATCACTCTGTAGTAAGTGACAAATTGATTATGTTCAAGTTTTTTTTTGAAGTATCATTTTTTCTACATAAACAAGTTCAAGAAAATTGGCATAATTAGTAGTGAAATATAGACATTCACTTTTTATAAATTACACTATGATTATAAACAAGTCATCCACAAGGTTTCTCACTCTGAAGACTTTAGAGAAAGTGTTGCCTTTCAATTAAAATTTCTATGACATTGCTTTAATTAATCTTATAAATGCATAAGTAACATTTCAAATTTAAGTTTTGAAGAAGATTATAGTTATACGACAGTGGCTGATTCACCAAAAAATAATGTTGAAAACCAAAATGAATCATTTTTTCCTAAAAAAATGGGTTTCCCAAAAATATCAATTTTCAAAATCTGACCTTACTTGGGTGGCAGTGGCTTTACCCAAATTAATTTGATCAGTATTTGTGCTACAGTCAGCCTTACAAATGTAAATATTTTACTTCTTTTTTACATAATCTTGTTAATTTTACTTTAGGCACATATAAATGATACACTTACTTGAAACATTATTTCCTATCTAAGTTTCAGTCCACTAGACAAAGGAAGTAATGGGGACCAACCCTCCAGAGTTAAGTAAAAAGAACAGAGGGACAGGAAAGCTGTGGATCTCTTGGGCAGTGCACTTCTTTATCCCGACATAATGGCAGATTCAACTACCAATGCTGAACTCGTTTCTCACTATTTTTCAGAAGTTTGAACATTATGTAGATACATATGTACACACACCAATGCATAGTTACAGATATTTTACACTGTTTTTATCTTGGTTGGGGAATGCTGATCATATTAGGATGAATATACTAAGATATCACAAGCTGAAAAAGAGAAATTGTTACAATAACCACCAAGTCTGTCCACTTAGAAATCAGATTTTGTTTTAACACAACATAGAGGGTTCTTTCAAACAGAAAAACTCATGTCTTACCTCTGTTTCTCTTTAAGATTCTTACGCTTGGCTTCTACATCTTCCAAAGCTTTCTGTAATATATCCTAGAGAAGTACATTTGGTTGGGAAAGAATATAAAGCCATTAAATTAAAGAAAGGTGAGTACTATTATCCTATTATCCAAATATCTCAAGGTTAATCACCCTGCTTAATGCAATTTACCATGGTAGATACTCAGTAGATATTTGAGAAACCCTCAAGTTCCAATAGCTTAAACATAAAACCAGTCCTAACCCACTTGTCTCTTTTTGTACATATTCAGATGTCCTCTCTCGAAAGAGAAAGAATCTGTACACCCCATAGTGCCACAATGCCTCTGTCATAAACTTCATGAAAAACGTGGGTAAGTTATTTCTTGTATCTAGGCTCTGGCTTTGGGGAACAGAAAATGTTATTTTCAATTATGTTATCTAAGACTTCTTTCAGAGAAAAAGTAGTTATTAATAAATGTTGCTAATAGCCAGAAGAAAATGTCTCCTTCCTATCAAGTTAGATACCTTTGAAAAATACTCCCCAAATTTCCCTGTGTAGAATACCCCATCTGAAGGCTTTCTCCCTTTCAGACTGCTCTAATGCCAGTGATTTCATATACTGGCTACTTCAGTACCCTATCTCAAGTATGCTGTAACCCAGGCAGAAAAAGAAAAAAAAAAAAAAACAGGTCACTACCATTCTCACAAATAGGAAATGACTTCTAATGAGTTTCATTCACCAGAAGTAAAAGATGGATATCTCTTTTGATGGCTATACCACCTACAGATACTATTTTCCTTGTCTTTCAAGTAAGACAATGAAAAATGGTTGGTAAGTATTTCATTTCAAATTCAACTGCCTGGAAGTATTTAAAAGGTCAAAAATTCAGGTCATTCTGCTTTGCTCCCTTCTCTGCATTAAAAGTAACCAGGGCACCTCAGAGCAACAAAGCAAACTAGTCAAAGACATCCCCACCCTTCCTGGTATCAGCACAGAGCAAAGGGGTGGTGAGAAGAAGCAGGCGGAGGCAGCAAAGCAAGGGTCTGGCCTATTAGAATCTGTTTCTCTCTACTCTCAACGACAGAAAGCAAAGGGAATCGATTTCTTAGATACAAAATTAAAAAAGCTTAAACTATGAAAAAATCAATAACAATAAGATAGGTTTACCTTTAACTTTAAAAAAAAAAAAAGAAAGAAAGAAAAGAAAAGGTAAGAGAATCTTGAGAAAACCTAGATAGATTTAGCTTGGGGGCATTACCAAGCACAGCTCTTTGATTTGATCCCTTACTCCCAGCCCTTAGCTAGGAGGGAGCTTTTTCAGATCCGACCCTGGCCCTTGAAAGCTTAAGGGCAAGTCATTGAAAAGGTTCAGACATTTAGCCAGTGGAAGAAAAAGGTGGTGAAGAAAAGCATTCCCCGCCCCCAACCCCCATATTCCTGCTCATCCCTTTGTATTCAAGCAAATAGATATTCTGCTCAATGAGTCATAGTGAGGAAAGCTTTGTACCATAATTTTTGTAAAAGTTAGCAAGATTACAATACATATCCTGCAGCAATATTCCTTTTCTCTTAGCTGCAATATACTATAATTAATAATAATAGTTCTTTATAACTTATCTTACTCATGGGCATATTGCAAGGATTACAAAGAATGTTTATGAACTGTGCAAAGCAACTCATAAGAAAAGAGCTTTGTAAGCTGGAAGCATTGTTATTAATATTCATAATTATGGGATATAATTCCTAGCACTAGAAAGAAGGACTGCTTATTAGTCCTCTTCTTGCTTTCCCCATTTATTTGGGTCCATGGAGAGCTGAAAGTTGAATAGATATTTTCAAGGAGACTGGATAGGCTAGTTTTTTCCTGTAGCTTTTCATTATTTTCTCCTTTTCTTGTTATTACTTTCCTTTTAAATAAGTTGCTCTTCCCCAAATATCAAATTCACCCACATTTCGTTCGTCTTTGCTGTCTCAGCCATCCCCCTATGTGCTGGGTCTCTTTTTTCTCTGAATTCAACTTTTCTGTATGTGTTTAAATCAACTTAATCTTTGGAGCTCATCTGTGTTTAAGAGTTTAGGAAGTAAATGATAAGGGACATACATCTATGCCCAGGAAAAAGCAAGTGGTGTTGTTTGCCATTTAAGATCACTCTTTCCACATCATACCTTGGCAGAGGATGAAGAAGTTATGTCGGGCTGGTTTACTTTGATTTGTGCTTCTTTCAGTGAAAGTTCAGCTACAAGCAGAAGCTTAATAGTTAGTTATAATACAGTGAGATTCTTACAAGCAATTTTTAAGTGAGCGTTTTCTATACACACAGTCATGACCAGAGATAATGGCATACTGATTATAATCTCAGAAAACCTTTCATAGCTCATACGCCTTTTAAATCTCTTCTATTGGGCTTCTTCTTAGGCATGACAATTTATAGAACCTAAGTTTACACATAAATTCAAAAGTATGCGTCAACCTTTGGCTGACTGAAAATGCTCTAAAATCTATGAAATATGATGGAGAGCTATTTCTACCCCAAGATGACAGGGGAAGCATGGCTTTGTCCTTGCTGTGGGAGGACTGAATGTGCAGAAGAGCCTTTTTAAAGTAGATGTGATGCTGGTCTCACTTGTGATCTAACACAGCATCACGACCACCAGGTTTTCAACGAGTTCCAAGTATAATCAGGATCATGCTTAAAATAACAAATCAGATCACAATTAAACAAACCCAGAGATAAAGGGATAAAGATAAAGGAATGTGTTATGAAGTTTCTCAGAGGTAGGAATGACATTCAATTCCAGCATCACCTACAGCAGCGAATGTCTCATAAGTGCCTGATTAACATTTGCTGAGTGAATGAACAGTAGTGTCGTGGGCCACAGGTAACCACATACCGATCTTTACTGCTTCTTCTGCCTTTTTTACTTCATTTTTAAGTGTTCCTTTAAAAGAACACGTGACATACAGATACTTTCTGGAAAGAAAAAAAAAAGAACCTAATCAAGTCATAATGTCATTTTAAAGTAATGTAAGAGAATAAGGGAATATTCCTTAACTTACTACATACTCCAGAGATAGGCAATTATTAAGGAAGATTCATCAAGTAAGTTACATCCAGCTGGTAAATTAGCAAACTTTATACCTAAGAAGTAATCCCTTGCCTTTTAATACTTGGTAATGGTACTTTTGTAAGGGAACTTCAGGAACAAGGTAAGAAAATCTCTGCCCCCACACATGTTCACTTGTACATATAAAATGGTCATTTTCTTAAATAGAAAAAAAATTATGCTAGTGCTCCATTGTCAAAGTTTCTGGTTAATATGCACAGCCCTCTTGCTCAGATCATCATTGGCACTGGATAAAATTCTTCTCCCAGTCTCCAAACAATTATCTCTAACTGAATTGCGCAGAAACACACATTCATATCATCTTAAAGCTACTAAGAGCACATTTTCTACATTATTGCTCAAAAAACCTATTTTCAAGGTCCATTGTTTTAGTGACAGCAAAGAGCTCTAGAGCAATCAAGGAAAAAGAAAAATGTATATTTCTATAAACACAAGAGAACAAAGTGTGAGTTAGAAGAGTTCTGCAGAACAGAGGCTCCATGAACACAGTTGACACTATCTGAATCTGTTATAGAGGACTTTTCTTGGAACTAGGCTTCTAAATATTTGTTTAAACCATCATGGAAAGAAACATTCCGGAATAATATTTGTTTTGCGGACTCAGTGAAGGAAGGTCCAGGCACTGACTTAACTAGCTCCATCTTGTCCATCCCTGGTTTTGTATTGCCTTTTTGACATTTTTTTTTTTCCTCCTGAGTTCTTCTGCTGTTCTTTAGCTCGGATCCAGGAACAACAGATCTCTATATAAGCATCTTTATGACAAGGAACCAAAATGACCCCAAAGCAGCAGCAAGCCTTGAAGAAAGATCACCCCATGATGACTTCACCCCCTAAGCAGGGGAAGTCACTCCATGAGGGAAACCAAGGCTGTTCCCTTAAGCAAGAGCAATCATCTCACAGTGGGAACCAAATTGGCCTCTCAGGGGATGCTGACTTCCCTGGAGTTTTATGGAACCAGTCCTGAGATAATGATCAATCTGATAACTGTCTGATCAACAGTGTCTGTTTTGCCTGCTATGAAAAATCCCAGCTACGCAACACATCCACCCTTCCTTTTGTTCCCTTTTTCTGTAGCCTCAAAGTACTTGTCAGCCCCTGGAACACAGATCTTAGATCCATCGACCTTTCTCAGTTCCTCGGTGCAGCCACACTGCTGAAGGCTCCTTCTTGTCTTCACCTCTGCTAGTCCCTTAAAGTGGCATTGTGGAACCTGTGGCCCAGTCTAGTCCCTTGCAACTCCTAAAGCAGCGGCGTTCACTCTCAAACTCTGGGAATGTCAGGAGTGCATAATTCTCTGACATCTTCAATGTTTACAAGGCATATGATGGTTAGCTTTATGTGTCAACCTGACTGGGCTGAGGGATGCTCAGATAGCTGGTAAAACATTCTGGGGATGTCTGTAAGAGACTAGCCTCTGAGTAAGTCGCTTAAGAATGTCCTCCCTCATCAATGTGATTGGCATCATCCAATCTACTGAAGGCCAAAATAGAAAAAAGGAAGGATAAGGTAATCTCTGTTTGAACTGGGACATACATCTTCTCCTGACCCAGGACATCATAAATTTAGGTTCTCAGGCCTTTGAACTCCAGGTTTTACATCAGCATCTCTCCCTGCCTAGTTCCTGTGCCTTTAGTCTCAGAATGAAAGCTGCACCACCTTCTCAGGCCTTTGGATTCAGGCTGAACTGTACCACCGGTTTTTCCTGGTCTGCTGGTGTGCAAACTGCAGACTGTGGGACTTCACAACCTCCATAATCCTGAGGGAGAATTCCCACAATAAAGTCACTGACTATATGCTATTGGTTCTGTTTCTCTGGAGAACCCTAATAAAGATATCAACATTTCAGCAAGAGGCAGGTAAAGACCTATAGATCTTTCTTGAAGCCAAAATGTTTTAAGATGTATAAAACAGGTGTGTGCTCAGGCAGATGCAGGAGTCTAAACCCATATGCACCAATAAATTTATACCAGCTTATGAGCCAAACTGAGCCACTGACTTCTCTTGGTTCAGCCTCAGACCTATATCGGCTTTTCATTTTTCAATGGTTCTAAAAGTAAAGGACAAAAAAATAAAATTATGTAAGAGGACTGAATGCACACATATATTTACTATCAGGCCTATTACAGAAAAGGTTTGCCAACCTCTGGAATCTATGTTAATAGTAATCGCTGTTAAATGATAGCTCGATTTAGAATTGCCTTTATATGATCTGACTTTTAAACAATGTAAGCAGTAATGCAAATGTTTCGCTGATTGCTGATCAAACAGGTCACACATAATTTAAATGTTTCTTAGCTAGAATCTGTTTATAGTTTAAGAATTTCTTCCATTATCTCAACAGAAACAGTAAAGATATACTCTAGACAGAAAACACTTCATGATTAGATGTTAAAAGTAGAACTGTCTGGAGTCCATCTACCTGGGTTCAAGGTGAGGTGTACCCCTTACTGTAGTGTAAGATGGTATTTCCAATGATTCTACTTCCTGATCTCTGAGTGGGTGATAACAATGGTGCCTATCTTCAGGGCTGTTATGAGAAGCAAAGCTGTCAATACAGCTAGAGAACTTAGAACAAAGCTGGTTCACAGTAAGAGCTCATTATACCTCATTATTATCTAATTTCCCCTATAAGTGTTTTGGAGAAGTGCACTGCGGATGGGAAAATGAAATGAGTCAGTGGATGAATTGTTTTTCTTCTAAGAGTTGGAAGGACTTACAGAAATTTGCTGAGTTAAAACATAGAAAGGCTAATGTTAAAAAATAACTATAGCCAAGCATGGTGGCGCATGCCTATAATCCCAGCGACTCTAGAGGCTGAAGCAGAAGGATCACGAGTTCACAGCCAGCAAAACCAAGGCGCTAAGCAACTCAGTGAGACCCTATCTCTAAATAAAAATACAAACTAGGGCTGGGGATGTGTCCCAGTGGTCAAGTGCCCCTGAGTTTACTCCCGAAACCCAAAATAAAACAACAACAACAAAAAAAAACCTTACGTATCATCCTATAGTCATCTACTTCAGTGGCTTAATAAAGCAAGTTATAATAACTTTGTTTTTGTTATTGCTAAATTTAAGACCATTTCAGAGATGATTATATGGGTAACTACAGGAAAGAAATACCCATAAAGTCTAACGTAAAATAATTATCAATTTATTTCCTTGGTTTTCTTTTACAATGAACATTATTCAGTTAAGTAATATCCTATGTGTATTCCAAATTAGTCTCTATTACATTAAGAAAACAGTAAAACTTAAGTTTAAATATAAAAAAAATTTAGTTACTACATAGTAGAATTATCATTTAAAAAGAAAACACATTCAAATCTCATGCTTTATCTGGTTTGAATCATTTAATTTAGATCAAATCATTTTTTTCAGAATCAGGAGGAAATCAAGAGGAGACTGAACAATGAGGTAATTCTTCAAAATGATGTGAGTTAACCTATTTAAGTATTTTTTTTATAGAAAGGAAAGGAGGCACAAAAGGTGCCAACTCTGTATTAGTGCTTAATTTTAAATAGCAAAGTCCCCAAAATGTGCTGTCTCCCATGTCCGTCAGTGAGGTGGCCTGATCCCAGATGATCTGCATGCCCGTGTGCAATTTGAATTTTACAATTGCTCACTACCATTCACACAAGCTAATTAAGTGTATGTACTCACTCACTTCTATAATTCCAGAGTAACGAATCTGCCTCTTATAAATGAAAGAATGTTTGTTGAAATCTACATCCAGAATTGGGAGCCTGCGTAAACTTGGCACTTCCTCTATTTTTCCTACAACTGGACTCTTGAAGATAAAAGGCCAGTGTGAGGCATCCATGGAGGAGAACGAAGAGAACCCAGTCAGCTCTCAACTCTTCAGTCTTTGCAGTGGAGGGGAAGGGAAGTGTGTCCTCTCCAGGACAGGCCTTCCGTGCCTCAGTGGCTGGACTTTTCTTCAAACTCATCATGTGTCCACCCTCTGCATTTACTTGCCTCTCTGTCCATAAAGCCAGCTCGCAGCCTCTGCCTCCATCTTTCTATCATCTCTCTATAAATTCCGTGTCTTTGGGCATATCTCAGGCCTCCACTCTTTTTCATCTCATATATTTCACCTTCTGTTTTCCACCAGTGAAACTGAATTTAAATATTTTGGTTATGTTTGCTTTTAGCATAAAACAGCATATTCAATATTTTCTTTCCAAAGACCTAGAAAACATGGTTAATGAAAAATATTGAAGAGAATAAAAACTAAAACAATATAAAAAAAATTTGCTCCTTGGATAAAGCACATATGAAAAAAGAAAACACTGTTAATATTAAGTGTTGATTTTTGAGGGGAGAGTGGGGATGCGGTGGGTACCAGGGATTGAACTCAGGAGCACTCAACCACTGAGCCATGCCATCCCAGCCCTAATTTTTTTTTTTTTGTATTTTATGTAGAAATAGGGTCTCATTGAGTTGCTTGGTGCCTCATTTTTGCTGAGACTGGCTTTGAACTTTCAATCCTCCTGCCTCAGCCTCCCTAAACTCTAGGATTACAGGTGTACGCCACCATGTCTGGCTGTTAAGTGTTGATTTGAAATGAGACAAAGGGCAGTCTTACCCACTGTTGGTATAAGAACAAAGTGATTCCCAGTTCTTAGAGGATAAATTAATAGCAGCCATCAAGATTAATGGTATGTATTCCTTCTGATCCAGAAATTCACTTCTATAATCTGTTCTACAGAAATAACTGCATATGACCATAAATACATATGTTCAAAGACGCCTAAGCGTGTCCATTTTAGCCTTGTTTATAACAGAGTAAACCCTAAAAATTCTTAATGTACATCAATAAGAAAATAATTAAGCCACAGAATACTATGACATATTTAATGATGGCAAAGATCTCCAAGATTAATTTTAAGTGAAAATAGTAGGCTGTATTTTTTTAATAAAAGGACTGAGTATGCATGCTAATGTGTAGAAAATAATCTGCAATCGTATTTAGTAAACTCATAGCAGAGGTTCTCCTTTTGGAGAGATAATGGATTGTTAGAACACAGAATAAATGTGTTTATAAAGGAAGCTCTTTGTTACTTGAGTTTTTTTCCCCCATAACTAATTCTTTACTTTTGAAATTTTATTCATTTTACTATTTTAAGAACAAAACATAACTCTCTCCCACAAGAGAATTTAAAAATAGAAAGAAACATTGAGTAACTTTTAAGGTTTTTTGTTGGCAAAGTGGAGTACAGCATGATACATCATTCTGACTGACTGATTGATCAAAACAACTTGCAGAAATTTAAAATTTATTGACATTTAATTTGTATAGCTATACATTTGTCCAAAAAATTTGGCTAGTAGAAAATATTTTTTAAAATTTAAGTTTAAAAAGATTACAAGACAAGTACAGTTCTGAACTTCTGAACCTCTCTGTATTATTTAAGTAGAGGTTTATAAAAGAGGAATTAGAGGTCTATAAAATTGTAAGTTAAAAGGGATGCTAGAAATCATCTTGCTAAAATTCTTCCTAAGCTAATAATCCCCTCCACAATCTAGATCCCTCAAAAGACAAATATCTACTGCTCTTTTGGGGTGGGACTTTCTTCTAGTGCTGGAGGGCATGAGGCATTTCATTGATCTCATGCTACATTCATAGCCCTCTATGAGTTGCTATACCCTGTGCCATGGGTGTCCACAGAAATTAATCTGCTATCCTGGACACACTAGATTTAGTAGTTGAATCCCTAATCTGCTAAATAGACTAGGGACGCATGCTCAACCTAAGGAAGCCATATGAGCAGTAAAGCCCTTCTCAAGTGACTGGTCCCCAAATTCAACCCAATGGAGAAGCTTTGAATTTTATGGTTGAAAACTCCCTGAGAGGACCAAATGCTGCGTATACTCAGCAAAGAGGTCCGTGGAACTAACATATATCCTGAGCAACACTGGTCTATCATTTCTGTTCTCCAGAACATCACAGGCATTGAAACACTGAGTCAATGTTGACGGTGAGGCAGTTTTAACACTCCCTACTGCATGACTCCTAGGACTATCTTTATATTAAACACCAATGGAAAAAGGAAATCCATTTGTCTCTTCCTTGTAAAAACAGCCTAACACTCCATGAGGAGCCATTTGTAACTGTCTTCTACTTTCATTTAGCTTTCAAGTTCTGCCTTCTGGAATTCCAACTATCACATGATAGCATTTCATGTTTCCACTCAGCTGTAAACTCTCTCTCTTCCATGGATAAGCCTCAGTTCCATCGCTATTCTCTCACCAGATAGTTACTTTCCTATGAGCTAGAAACTTTTTAGTAAGTCTGTGTCCCTCTTGAAGGATTCCTGTCTAGGCATCTCCCTCTAAACATAGTGTAAGCACAACACGGTGGATTGGTATTCTATCCTATTGGTATTCCAAAACCATGTTTTAGCAACCCCGAAACACTATCAGCTAGTAGTGACCTTGTGGTCAATTAAAGTGTGCATGCAATTTTTCATGTAAATCATTGTCAAATCTATTCACATAATAATTCTGATCTATACATTGTCTATATCACACATATCTATTGGACTTCAACTCTTGCACATATTCTTTCTGTTATACCTGATAAAAGACATTCCTCTTAGATCAGGGTCAACTACAAATTCAAGAAGCACACAAATTTGTTTTTTATCCAAGTCACTAATAAAAATACTGAACAGAATATGGAAGGAAACCAATGACATGACATCAGAAATTCCCCTCCAGTCCTCCTCTGAACTTGTTAAGCATATTTGAGGGCTACTGATAAAGCAACTACAGACCCATATGGATCCAGACATTTTCCTGCTTGTTACAAAAGTGTAGAAGAATAATTGATCATGAAGAGTAGTCACATATTCTTGTAAATAAAACTTCAGGATGACAGAGTTCTTTTAGGGGCAACCTTGGTTTCCCATTTCATTTCCAGAAATGGCCAAGTGGACAGAGCAATCACTTTTTAATACCCTTTAAATGCCTCTACTTTGGTCAAACAGGGACAATCCCAGATCTTAATATATTTTAATGCAGACATTGGAGCTACAGTGTCTTTTAGAAAAGAGAAAAATAGGGGTTGTCCCATTAGGGAATTCCACATATTTCTTATGCAAGACTTCTGCCACCAGAGAATCTGATGGAAATTATATATAAGTAAAGATGGCAAGCAAATAGAGAGGCAAACCCTAAGGTATAAGGTCACAAAATACATCCTTCTACAAGGTAGATAACAAATATCAGATTTAACAGTTCATCAGCACTCTAAATAAAACTTGGCAAAGATTTAAGCCTCTTTGAATTTCTTTTATGAAAACAAACAAATACATACAAACATACATATATATGTACATCATAGTTTCTATTCATGGTACTATATATCTAAGAATATTACTTTGAAAGGAGAATAAAAAACATACTAGAATTGGAAACACCTATCACTTGAGGGAAGTAATTTTGCTGGATGAAACTCAATTTACTAAAATTCCCTTGGAAAGAGACAAATTCACATTTTCTACTGGTTTAAGCTATTTTTTACCTATGTCCTCTAAGAGAAGAATGATTAATTTGAAAAAATCAGCTCTCCTGAATGATCCAAGAGATCCTGGGTCCCTTCCAGAAGAATGAGACTGAAAGGAAACATTGCTTTGATATTTGCTAAGGAACACAGAAACGGATGTACAGGGAAAGTTCAGCTGTGTATACTTTAATTTCAAAAGATGATCTTTGGTATAATTAGAAACAAAAAGTAAAACAGTTGAGGAATCAGTAAAACTGTCATGAGGAAAACACAGAGGTCTATTTTTTTTTATTTTAATACTTACACTAATGGTTGCAAAGCTCCAGGTCAGCAAATGTTTTTTCATGAAAATAAGACAACATGAAAAATGTTGGTCTACTATAAAGAGTGAATGTGATAGAGGAAAAGGAGCATCAAATTTGGAAAGATAAAGAACTGGAGCCAGATTATTTGAGTTCTTGTCTTGATGTCTAAAATGGTGATTGAAAACCAATCCACAGGATCACTGAAGAAATCAAAGGCTAATGCAGGTACAAAGACACATATATAGACAGTGTGCAAGTAAATGTCTCTCCTAGTAGATATTAAACTCCTTAGAATTAGAATTAACCCTGTCTTTTTTATGCTTTGTAGAGTACAATCTCATACAGATTTTTTTCTCTTTTGTTTTTCTTTTTCCCCCACATTTTTATTGGTGCATTGTAGTTGACATAATGATAGGATGTGTTGTTACATATTCATACGTGCACACAATAGAACAATATAATCTGGCCACTATCACTCTCCAGCACTTCTCCCTTCCCTCTCATTCTCCAACCTTGGTCCCTTTGCTCTACTGATCCAGTCCCACCTTTCTTTTTCTTTTTCCTCTCTAGCTTCCACACATGAGAGAAAACATATAACCCTTGACTTTCTGAGTTTGACTTATTTCACTTAACATCATGGTCTCTAGTTCCATCCATTTTCCTGAAAATGACTTAATTTTGTATTTCTTTATGGTTAAAGAAAATTCCATTGTGTTTATATGCTACATTTTCCTTATCCATTCATCCATTGATGGAAACAGGCTGGTTCTACAGTTTGGCTATTGTGAATTGTGCTGCTATAAACATGGATATGAATGTATCACAGTAGTTAAGATGACTTTAATTCTTTAGGATAGATACCAAGGAGCGGTATAGCTGGGTCATATGGGGTTCCATGCCTTGTCTTTTGATGAACCTCCATACTGATTTCCATAGTGCTTGTACTAATTTATAGTCCCACCAACAGTGTAAAAGTGTTTCTTTTCCTTCATATTTTCTCTGGCATTTATTATTGTTTTCTTGATGGTGGCCGTTCTCATTGATATGAGATAAAAATCTCAGTGTGGTTTTGATTTGCATCTCCCTAATTGCTAATGATATTGAACATTTTTCATACATTTGTCAGCCATTTGTATTTCTTCTTTTGAGGATGATCAGACTCTCTAATTTTTTATAATTATTTGGCATATAAGTGAATAACTGCACAAAACATGACCATTCTGACTTAATGAATAGCTGGATAATATATTTTTTGGTAAGAAAATATAAATTTAAAAATTTTCACACTAAAACACAAAAAAGTAAATTAAATATAAATAAACCAAGTGTGTATGAATAGATGTTCATTCTATATGTATAATATACGTAAATACATATATTCAATCATTGCTTCCTGATGGGACATGTATCTTAAGGGGCCACCATCATGCATGCAGTCCATCATTGAACAAAACATCATTATGTGAGCACAGACTACATATTATTTAATAATTCAAATATATTATATGAGAAATTATAAGTGAACTGTGATTTCTTGATGGAACCAATCATAATAAAAGCACATGAGATTCACTGAAGTGAAAAACAACTTCCTGCTTTGAGGTGATTATCTAACCTTGAATGCTCACTTCAGTGTGTTCCAATTAATGACAAATATTGTCATATGTGAGCACTCTGTAGCAAAAACTCTTTGCTAGAGAGATTCTTCCTGAATGCAGTTTTAATTTTGCTTACAAAATAAAAATCTTACTATCAAAGCTAGTGCCCTCACTTTGACAATTTGGGGGAGTATATCAATTTTCTAAATTAAAGCTCTAGGAATATAATTGAAGGAGGGCGAGTTACCTAGGTTGGTAGAGGCAATAACATAGGTGTTTTGTTTGAACTCTTTTGGCTTGAATGAATATTCTCATCCAGGGGTCAAAATATAGAACAGATGTGTAGGCTCTGAAGGACCATCTCTCTGGAAAACTGAAAAGGAAAATACAAAAGGCCACAATGTACATAATACAATAACTATTTCTTTTTGAGAATTAAGAAAGTCAGATTTTATACTACTAGAATCCTCAGGAAATTTTTCTTCTGAAACTAACAATGCCATAAGCAACAATGAATCCCCCAACACTCGCTTCATTAATCAATCCCCTGAACACAAGGGCCTGCATACATAACCTACACTTTGGTTAGAACCCAACTATTACTGGCATTCAATTGGTTCTAGGTAGGCGTAAGTATCAGCAATTGAAATATACTTTCCTTGCAGCAACTGACCCAGAAGGACACAATAAAGTCAAATAAACAAAACAATCCCCTGTTCAAACATGACTGAAAGAATCTAGGCTCACATGAATAAAGGGCATTTCTATTAAGCTGCTATAAAGAGGTAAATACAGTAAAATGCTTCATTTGTTTTTAGAATTATGAGCAAGACTCACAACACTACATTTTGCAAGTGCAATGAGTATGAAGATAAACATTTATGACCAGCTGAGGGGAGACATCTGACAATGCAACCAGTGAAAGAAGAGAAGAGAGAAAAGTGAAAGATGGAAGGCAACAAAGTAGGAGCAGAAACAGTGCAAAGGCTTAGGAAGAAAACTTCCCTCAGAAGCTGCACATTGCTGGAAATCACCACGTAGACGAGCTCTAGGGACTTCTGTATCAAAGCCCACTTACGGACCGTAAGTCCTCTTTGCTTACACAAGACCTGACATCAAACAAGGAGTTAGACAAGAAATAAAGATAAAAACCAGCCCAGACACACTTAGGAAGTGATGCTCTCTACTTCCAGACTGCAGACGAACTTGGCTATCATGAAGGGCTTCCAGGTCACATAGAGAGTGGGGAGCAGTAAACCCATTGCTTCACAATTCTTCCTTGGACCAGAGTGAGACGACTATGAAAAGGAACCAAAAGGCCCACCTAAGAAGGACTGCTCAATACGGTTACCCCATTGCCAGTTCTCAGTAAAGGACAGAACTCCAAGGTATTTTTGAAAATGAAGCCATAAGAAATCCAAGATTTCCTGATTGAATGTAAGTTCCTTCAGATGCTATCCAAAGTTCAATTAAAAGGTCAAGAATTTCTTTTAATTGTTTAAAGAGAAATTCTTTTAAAGTAAGCCGGGAGTAGAATTTTCCCAATATAAATTAATAAAAGAATCTAGTCCATGGCTATTACTTCATCAACACTAATGCATTTTTTAATGTAACCAGAAAAATCGTCTGCATTAGAGTGACACACGACAATAATGTGGTTTCTTTTAGAGCACCAGAAGTTGTACAATTAATTCTTTCTTCACCTATAAAAGAAGAAAGCTTTCCTGGGATGTTATAAGCATCCATAGGGCTTGTGCCATTGTTGAAACCCTTTCTAGACCTCCTGATTTGAAGGGCTCCAAGGTCAAATAGAGAGCAGGGACCAGTAAATGCATCATTTTCACAATTCTTCCTTGGACCAGAGCAAGACAAACGTGGTGGAGAGGATCCCAAAGGCTTACCTAAGAGGGACTGCTCACATCTAACCAGGAAATCCTTGGATTTCTTATGGATTCACCTTCATTTTAAAAAATACCTTGGAGTTCTGCCCTTTCTGGATCTCCTGATTGGAAATTACCCTAAGAGTGAGTGGCTCCTTCTTTATATTCTCCTAAAGCTAGCAAATATCTATAATTTGAAGGGATGAGTTAAAAGTAAGTCAAAGTGGTGTTTGAGAATTTGAGAAATATGGTGAGAGATCAAACTGATTAAACAAATTTTGGTGTATACCCACAGAATATGTGTATACCTGTGTGTATATCTGAATAATACCTCTACCTTTTGAAAGCTCAATTTATCTTCTCATTCTATAAACGTTGATAGGTAAATATTCATAGCATGCATATTGGATGTCCTCGCTCTGTTAGAAGACTCCTGGAAGGACTCATGTTTCTTATTATGTAATTGAATTCATGACTAAGCTTTATCACAGAGTTGTAGTAAGAACATGCAGAGGTTCATGGCAGGAAAAAAATACATGGAGACTGGAGGAATCCATATGTCAGCTTTCTTAAGTTGTATTCCTCTCAAGAAGGATCACACAGAACACACTCTCCACTCAACTATGAAAAATACAGCAACATATGTGTGATGTATCTGTCTAGGAAAGACCCCCAGAGACTCAATTACTAAAGTTTTTTAGGCATCTTCTGCTTTAGGATGTATCAAAGTTCCGGGAACACAGAAGGAAAGTAGATTTCTAGCATGTAATCTTGTTTGCACAGTCTAGACATAGAAATCCACCCTTCTCAGTATGGAAAAGTTTTATATCCGTATTGGGAATGGTGTCTTATTAAAGTTCCCCAAATCTAGCCATGGACCAACCTTGCAAGCAAGCCTGGACACCAGTTATGTTTCTGCTCACATGCCTACTTCTCCAAGTGTCTGTTTACTTGTGAAAAACAGAATGGTAATGCCTCTAACTTGTGAGGTCTGTGGTAGAAAGAAAAAAAAAAGAAGGTTAAATATAAAAACTGTTGGGCTGAGGATGTGGCTCAAGCGGTAACGCGCTTGCCTGGCATGCGCGGGGCGCTGGGTTCGATCCTCGGCACCACATAAAAATAAAATAAAGATGTTGTGCCCACCGAAAACTAAAAAATAAATATTAAAAAATTCTCTCTCTCTCTCTCTCTCTCTCTCTCTCTCTCTCTCTAAAAGAAAACTGTATATGGAATGGAGTATACATTTCAAATTGCTTTGGATAATGCATAAGATTCTTCGTGATCTGGCTCTCAGCCTCATCTCTTCTTGTCTACTTCAGTGGAGCCATTTAGGACCACTCTTAGTTCCCAGACAAGGGATCTTGCTTTCTCAGCCCCAAGGCATGGCATAGTCAATTCTTTGGTCACTCTTGGTTAGCTCTTTCCACCCTTTAGGATATGGCTTTGAGATCTCACTTCCTTTCCAAGTCCTCCATCACTTCCCAAGAATGGTGAAGCCTTCTCCTCAGGGCTCCTTTCCTGCATCACCTACCCCTCAGCATTGCACCTGCCTGTATATGTGTCTCCCCATCAGGGTGTAAATTCCGTGAGGCTAATATCTGCTGAATGAATGGCAATCTTTCAGAAAAAAACAGCAGAGAATTTTCTTTATAGGACTTTTGATGGAAAATCATTTTCAATGATGATACTATCATCTTTATAAATAAAGCCATTCACTTGGGAAACTGAAAAATTAATGTGCTCAGTAGTCAGGACATCTTCAGAAGATGAAAGAAAATAATACTGTTATTCTCCATTCATAAGGAACCACTTAATATATGCTCCTCGGGGCTTTTTCTTGTCTTGTTTCCGCCTAAGTGTCTTTCTTTTTCAGTCTCATTACAGTTTACCAGAAATCTACACCTCTCTATCATGTGTATCATTCTTACTTTCTACTTAAGTGTCTATGACAAAGAAATGAACAAAAGAAGATAGAGGAAAACTCCCCAACATGTAGACAGACACACAGAGTCACATGATAGACATAAAAAAAAAAGAAGAAGAGTATCTTATGGCTGTAAGTGGCTTTGGAGTCTGTGGAATATAATAAAGGGAGACAGAGTAGAATCAATGTTATTGTTCCTATTCAGCCTTGGTTTCTTAAGTCACTCCCCACTGTACCCTTCAGTTCTGGCTGTACCTTCCGTGTGGTCTCTTTCTTCTCCCAACTTCTCCACATTATTATACTGTGGTTTAAAATGCTGCTCTATGCATGGCATATGGTGGGTGGGCTGGTGCTGCAGGGCTAGAAGGTGAGGCTCTGTATCAATGTCACATCTCCTTTACTGATTCAGATGCTCTGTGTGTAGAGTTGAGAATGTGAGTTTGTTAAAAGTACCCATAAGACTCCTTTAACTCTACCAGGTTCACAGACCACTGCCCCGCAGACCTAGAGGATAGGTGCTATATAAGGCATGTTGCCTAAAACCTTGCAGGTCTTCAGACCTGATACCATCTCTACATTTGTCTACACTGGACACAAAGACAACAGACCCCCAACCAGCCCAACACCTGTGCTGCCCCTATTCTACAGTCTGATTGTCCCCATCAAAACTCAAATTAAAACTTAACCCCCATTGTGCAGTAGGAAGAGGGACCTGGTGGGATCTATAAGAGGTCACAAGAGCTCTGCTCTCCTGAAAGGAATAATGCATTCATAGCCTTACAGATTAATGAGTTGGTAGGTTATTTCAAGTGTGTGTCTATTATAAAAAGCTCCATTTGACTCTTGTCTTTTGCATGGGCCCCTCTTACTGATGTCCTTTGCTGCTTTGGGAATTAACAGAAAATTCCAATTTCAAAAAGGCCTTTGTCAGAAGAAGAGCCTTGACCTTGGACCTCCCAGGCTCCAGACACATGGACTGAATAAAACTATTCTCTATGATATATCCTGAAGTCAAATATTTTGTTAAAGCAACAGAAAACAGAGTAAAACACCTTATTAGATGCTTAGTTGAGACACTAACTCTAGGCACTGAAACAGTCCCTTTTGTAATATCTTAGAAGTTTTATTCACAAAAATACTGTATATAAATTGTTTTATTCATAAAAATACTGTATATAAGTTGTTTTCTGAATTTTACCTAAAATTTTTTTAACTTTGAAGGTTTATCTAAATTTAATCTTAAGGGTAGATTATATCTAAGAAAAATGGCAACTCAAAAAGGTAATCTAAAAGAAAAGTTATAAGCTCCTCGAAGTAATAAAAGCAAGTCTTTTTGTGACAACTATGGTATGGCACGCAGCACAGTAAGACAGTTTGAGGCTGTAACTCGAGGTGTTCCCAGCCGGCTCAGTTAAGACACAACTACAGACATTATGGAATGCTGCCCAATGACTGTCAATTAAGAAACATGTTGGCCGTGGCACCTAATTTCAAAACATTACTTAGGGCAAAATTTTAACTCCATTAATCTGTATTATGTCATCAGTCTCAGAGCTGTTGTTTGGATCG